CTTCAGTCTGTGACTCCAACCAACTCCGCAAACCCGGGAGCTCACGTACCCTAGTGCCCCGGTCCCCAGACCGTGACACCTATAATAAGGCAGCCTAAGGCTGTTGCCCCAAGTGGCATTTCTTTGGGTCATGAGCTTTTCGTCTAGAGCATCCCAGGTTGCTAAGGACTGAGAGGGGAGAAGTGTAAGGGCCATACACATCTCCCCTCCCAGCTCCTAGAAATCTGGGATGCTAGCTTGCCTCCCACCCAGCTGTTGGCAACGAGTGATGTCAGTGATCTGGGTGGGAAGCCGACCAGAGCTGAGCAGTGCACCACCAGGACCCTATCAACATTAACTAATCCCCCCCCCCAACCTCACCACCCCGAACGTGACCACCAGCCACCTGAGGCCTGATTGTGCTAGTATCACCCCTGGTCATACTCCATCTGGCAAACAGCTCCATCACATATGTATAAATATTGGACAGTTGTAACCATAGCAACCATTTAAAATCCGTCTTGCACTGTCTGACTCAATAATATGAATTCTGATTGCCTGCTGTAGCTTACTATACTTAGCACTGTTTAATGAATAAGCCCACATATCTGGCTTGTAGTGCATTATATAAAAAGCTACCTAAAAGCACCTCAAAGTGTTTTTTTAGAATTAAGTATTAATCTGTACAGATAAGCACCTTAGAAAACACTTGAACTTTGACAAGTATTGACACAGGATTAAGAAATTTAAAGTCTGTACCACTTGTTCTCTACAAACTCAATTTACATGGCAAATTTGCAAGTGAATGAAAGAGCATTGTTATATGCTAGGGGGCAACATACTGAAATAAGATTCAGGGCCTTGAAAAGACTTGTGGTTGGCCCCCGTCTCTTGGACCCACCTGCCCCCCACATATTCGTATGTACGTAGAGTCTAGATCCTCCTTAGTTCTTCATCTATCAATTATTGAGAATATGTCATATGCTTGTCTATGTTTTGTTTGTTAGGTACAAAGATGCCAATAGCTACCAATCAGAATTTGCTGCTTGTAGCTAATCAGTAGAAGAATTTATTTTAGTTTTTTTTAATAGCAGATTGCTGCATTAAGCGGACAATATGGTGCATTTAGCATTCTTATACTGCAACACACCTAGCAAGCAGTACCGTGTGCTAGGTGCGTATCATTGCCAATCCTTTGAAAGGCAACTCCCGGCAGCTGTGTGTCACAACACAGAGCAAGGCGATGTACCACCATACTGTGCATTGAGGTAGAAAAAAAGCAGTGTGTACACTACTTTTTTTTTCAAAGCAACTCCCAGTATAATGGTACTGTAACTTGCTCTGCGCTGCAATGCATGGCTATCGGGAGGTGTCTTAGGCTGCCCTTGAAATTAATGGCCAGGCAACACAACTAGTACACAGTACGACACTTGCTTAACACAACGCTTAAATGTGAATGGGCCCTTACAGTTCATCATACTTTTAAAGTCAAACTTTTGGAAAAAGATACATTACAAACTTCCCCGGTTGTGTAAATTATCATTAAAAAGCTGGGTATTATGTGCTGCTGCAAAGTATAAAAATCTTACCTTGCAGCATACCAATTCCTATTTCTCTTGGCTTCTGGGCACTGCAGGATGTGACTGTGTAACCCTTTGTCCCAGAGTATGGCTTTAAAGCCTTGCAAATTAACTGGAGAGCGGCCAAGCACTGAAAAGCATATGGGGGGGAGGGGGGCATTTATAAAGCAAATTGGTGACACATTTAGATGCAAATCAGGCTGCCTCTTGTTTGACAAAATCTGTGAGACAGTTGTGCTCTGTATTCATGTCTCCTGGCCCTGAAATTCATTGGGGGTAGGGGGACTTTGGGAGGTGAGAAGAGTGAGGGAGGTGGAGGGGGGCGGTGTGGTGATTTGTTTCCTTTTTTTACCTTTATTTGGAGCCAGGGGCATAACTAGAAATCACAGGGCCCCATAGCAAAATTTTGTATGGGCCCCCTCAAAAAAAAATGCCACTGGACAACACATTGCTACAGTCATGTGGCACAGTGCCTGAGCTACAGCATATATTATTATATAAATGATATGATTACATGCAGTTAGAAAACAATCACTATCCTTGAATGCAACGATCGTGCATCCAGGGAACCATCCCACCTCACACCCGGGCCGCCTCACACCCAGGCACATTATTCAAACCGGACTTGTGTCTCCCTAAAACCGCATACCGCTGGGCGCCGGTGTTCTATCAGATGTGACTGCAGTGGCCGTGGAATGTGTGACCGCGTCATTTCCGGTGACATGGTTGTGCATTCCAACGTAATCTATCCGACTTTGTGACTGCGGTAGAATGTGCGACGTCACATTCCTTCCGTAACGTGAGACGGGTCGACATTCCTCACAGCAAAGTGCTTATACTGGGTATGGGGAGGGGGGTGATTCACAAACTGTAACAAAACTGCAGGTGTGTTAAAATCAGCCAGCGAATATGGCGGTAGTTCCGCCACCGTTTGAAGCATACCAAAAGTGTAGTCAGACGTCCCCTCCTCTCTCTGCTGGCATCCATCACCAAGATGGCTGCCGGCAGGTATCACAAAGATGGTGGCGCATGCCACGTCACAGTGGGGTGTCACCCGGTATCTGCTCCGGGTGACACCCAGCCTCGGGACGCCCCTGGCCAATGTTAATCTATGGGCAGCCGGATGTAAATGGACCTGTGTCTGGTTACATCTGATTACTCCCAACTCCGTTTTGGTGGACGTAATTGTGATGGATTGGAGGTAGTCTGATGTGAACGGACACATGTCTATTTACATCCGACTCCCCATAGACTTAACATGGGGACATACAGCTCACCTTTTTCCTCCATCACAAGATGGCATCTGTTCCACACAGTAGCATATCCAGGGCACAGCACATATGGCACATGCCTTGTGCGCCACTTGAAGGTGGGGGCGCCGATCTGTGGGTCAGCAAAAGTTTGCCAACCCACAGAGATAGTGGACTGCCGCTGTCATTATTCAACCACTGCCATTTGGTTATCTACAGGGGCTTCTGCGCTCGATTAATCTAAGAAAAACTGGGCGTTACTCCTTACAGCTGCTCACTTAAATTGGCTGCATGAGCCTGCATTAATATCATTCAAATATGTAAAGCGGCGCTATAACCCAACAAGTAAACAAATAATATGTGCAAAATACAAATATTATAATGAATAATACTACTGTGAGAGAAAAAAAAACCATACATATATAATATTTTTCAAATATTTTCAAAATTAAATCTTCTAGTCAACTGTTTGTGTGAATCACAAGGTGATAATCTAAAAAAAACTCCAAATGACTAATAAAGTAGTCTTGTGTTGTCTTTGTTTTTCTTTGTGCGTCACTCTGCCCACTCTTGTAATTTCTTGTGTATTTTTTGCTGAAGTGCTCATAAAAACCAGTTAAATAAGCCTCTCACCTCCGTGTTCAGACCCTTGGGTCTCATAGTGCTTCTTATAGGGTAAAACTCCTTCCTCACGCTGTTTGTAGCTGTGATCTTCCTTCCTTCAGATGAGACCAATCCTGATCTTAACGGTTTTCTCCTCTACCGACAGACCAAAAAAGATCTCTCAAAGACAGAAGTGGAAATCATAGCGCACCCCGTATGCATGAAATTATTTTATTTTAAAAAATACACTCACATAAAATGAATAAAATTGCTTATCAGAATCTCATTCCTGGATGTTAGATCTGTCCTCCTCTTTTCCTCCAGGCGTTCTGACGTCACTGACTCAGCTTATACGCGTTACGTGTAATTGACTTCATCAGGAAGGATTCACACAAACAGTTGACTAGAAGATTTAATTTTGAAAATATTTGAAAAGATGCCAAGCAGTTCTATTAACTAGCTGGAAGCTGCAAGGGTTGTATAATACAGCGGACTGCCGCTGTCTTTTTTCAACTCCATGGCTGCTGGTGGTTGGTTGCTGGTTGCTAGAACCTGTTGGTGTCCTAGCAACCAACCACCAGCAGCCAGAGATTTGAAAAATGACAGTGGACTGCTGCTGTCATTATTCAACCACCACTGCTGCCGGTTAGTTGCTAAGACCACCTGGCATCCCCCCCGTTAGGGAGATTCACCCCCTATATTTGTCCTGGTGACTGTTATCACTGAAAGTAAAAAGAGTAACTAGAACAGGAATAGATTGGAAATCTTCCAATGATGACAATAGTTCTGGTGACACTGCTGACCTCCAGTTATTTCCTTCTCTTTGGAGGGACCATTTTTTAGCTGACTGGGAAAAGATTATATCCTCTACATTCTCACTGCTGTCTGTGACTTCCTGTACCTGTGACCACTGTTGCCTTCATTTTTTCTATGGGTTTGACAGGCATTAAAAGTGAGTTGGAAATAAAAGGAAACAGCAATAAAACCTGACAGAAGTTCAGACTCTTCCACGTTCTATTCAGAAGATTTAAAAAAAACTGGAATAAAAGGGAAAAAAAGTTTCCTTTGTATTATTTATTAGACTCTTAGCATCATTGTGTCCTGCAACATTTTCCTGTAAACCAAGCACAGTGACTCGTTATTGGCCAGCAGGTTTACCGGTGTACTTTCGTGAATCTAATCTCAATATCACTCTGTCCATCTATGAGTAGAAATATGATTGTGCAAGGGTTAATTTGCAGACTGTTTCCTTTCCCATCTATGTCACAAGAACCACAGCTTCCTTCTTGTAAGAAGTGACATTCCACCCCCTTCTTATATGCAAGATTTTACATGACAAGTCTTTGCTTTGCTTCTAATAAAATGTCCCTTATCTGCTAAAGGATATTCAGATGATTTACTTTACATTGAACATACATTGAGCATCCTTTGATTGACCGTAAAGATTCACTTTTAATAGGTGAGTGTAAGCAAGGCTTCCTTCCCTGATTTTACTGTTTCTGGATTCACACATTTATTCATAAACTGTCCTTATCTCATTGTGTACAGGTTTTGTCTACAGTTTGCAGGACTATTTCATCTTCACTACATGGAGCTGTCACATCTTATTCAGAGTTCTCAAGTAGAGAATGTACGGGTGTACTGCCCCCTAAAACCTCCTGTCACTGGGACTTTGTGTGTGAGCAGCCATCACCTTCTACTTTCTGCCCATCCTCTGGAGGGCAAAAGACTGGACAAATGTGAACTCTGGCTTCTGCACTGTGCCGTGGATTCTGTAGAGAAAAGGTACATACATAAGGAAAATGAGAAATATACATATATAAAGTATATGCATTTGTTGAAGTATATACAGTATATATATATATATAAATATATATATTAGATACCCTTTAAAAGCTGTACAGTAGTGCTTTTCAAGACCTCTGTTAAACCAAATGTCATACTTATGTTTAAAACAAATGTCATATTGCGAAGGTAACCAGCATTTCATTTTTTATGTAAATATCACACTCCTGGTAGAGCTGATTTGGGTTTAGGAAGAGGTAGGACAGATTAGGGGGTGAACTTTATTCTGTATTTCCATTTTTATAATGGTATTTATGATCATCTTCCTTTAATGAACAGGAGAGAGTTTCCTCTCTTAAAGCAGAAATAAACTCACTGCCATATGTCCCAGGATCGTCTGTCCCTCCTTTGTGCTCAGGACCTCTATGGTGGGAGATCAGCAAATTATCAACTTGCTGATCTCCTCTGGGTCTTATGAACCCAGAAGAGCTTAGCTCTGAACACAGTCTGTGCATGATCAGCTTTACCAGAGTGCAGAGGTTACATTAGGTGTCTAAAACACCCCTGATGTCTCCTCAAAGAAAACCTGTCACCTGCACTCTGCATTTACACAGTCCCATTTTGATAACAATAAAAACAAAAAAAGTTTAAAAAAATTAAAATGTAATAAAAGAAATTCAAAAACACCCCCATACATTTATGAAAGCCCTCCACCCCCACAGACACACAACATAACTGCACAAGTGTATGTTGGGTGTACACGCATATAAAAACAAATATTATGCCACACATATTAGGTATTGACCGGAGTGAAAGCAATAATTCTAATGCCATCATTGGCTGTTATTTCTTACTGATGAGCTATAAAAGCTTTCTTTGCCTATGGACAATTTTGGTTACCGTAGTTTTTTGCCATTTTACAGGCACGTGCAATTTTTAAGATTGACACATTTGGTATATATTTACTCAACACAACCTCAACTTTTATATTTTGCCAAAAAATGGGTAACATATTGTGTGTGCAACAATATTAGAATGTATTATTTACTGAAAATATAGATTTAAAAAACAGTAGCTAAATTCTTGTGTGACATAAAAAATTGCAGAAAATAGGTCACCAGCACTCCATAAGTTAAAATGAATGAGTCCTTTTAATGGACAATGATGTCACAGAAATCCAACATGAGCCGACGTTTCGGGGCCACACAGGGTCCCTTCTTCAAGGCAAGAGATGTGACATCTCTTGCCTTGAAGAAGGGACCCTGTGTGGCCCCGAAACGTCGGCTCATGTTGGATTTCTGTGACATCATTGTCCATTAAAAGGACTCATTCATTTTAACTTATGGAGTGCTGGTGACCTATTTTCTTCAATCTTGTGTTTTGCACGGTGCCATCCGTGAAGTTACTTCGAGCACCATTTATTTGATTGTTGGCCGGGACTGCTGAAAGGTGTGCGGAGGGCACCTCCATCAATTACATAAAAAATTGCAACTGCTGCCATTTTCTTCTACAGGGTCTCTGTTTATGAAAATATATATTTTGGGGGGTTTTCTTTAAGTAATCTTCAGGCCTAAAATGTGCATTTTACCATTTGTGCAAAAATATGAAAAGTTTTCCAGGAAAAAGGAGCACACCTTCCACCAAAATATTCTTATCTATCCATTTCCCAGTCCCCATCCCCCGCAGTCACTTTGTTTTTCCCAGTTCAAGGAGCTAAATCATCAGATTCTACCTATGGCAAGATTGTAGGGTTCTGTTAAAAGTTCTCTAATGTGTGTACCTGTGTTGGCGCATTGTTAACGTCATAGGGGCAGCGTTAATGTGTGACATGTTTTTTTATTACTATTATTATACAGAATTTATATAACGCCAATAGTTTGTAATGTACAGCGCTCTACAAAATTTCTCAAGAAGACTTTGTAGAATATATAGGTGCTATATCAACGAGTAAAGTACATTTCTTAAATTCTTGTGTTTTACATTAAAGCTGGGTTCACACCTGGGCGTACGGAATATGCGCGATTTGCGGTAAAAGAAACACGCGGCAAATGCGCGTTTACGAGGGCTATCCAGCTGTATCCTAATGGATATGCGCAACAAATACGCCTCAAAGAAGCTCCTGTACTTCTTTGGGCGTAGGGCGTTTTTCAGCGCGTTCCTACGCGCTGTAAAACGCCCAGGTGGGAACTATGCCCATAGGCAATTATTGGTTTTCACTTGTTGAGAGTTTTACAGCGCGTAGGAACGCGCTGTAAAACGCCCAGGTGTGAACCAGGCCTAAATGTGTAAACATGCATTCTCTTCTGCTGTTTTCTTCACTTTTTTTATTTTGGATGCTACTATTACGTTTTGTAGTGTGCACAACGTAGCCGTTTTGAAGAACAAGGAAAATGGCCAAGAGGGGGAAAGCAGGAGCAGTTCAGGAATTGTCACACTCAAGTGTAAAGACTTGAGGGTCATCCAGCTGGAGATACCTGGCATGGAGGAGACGCTGAATGTTGCCCGCTCGGTGCAGGTCAGTGAAATTGGGTTAAACCTACATTGCACAATATGGAACAATAAATACACTATACCATTTTTGTATAACAGTTCTTACTCCGGATTACAGCGTACCCAGAATTAAGTGCCAGTGTGTCCATTTATTAAAACATTACTGAAACATAGAGTTCCTCTTTTCAAGTAATAAACTTTTTTGTTGTTGTTAAATGTGAACTAGAAAAACAACTCGTATTTAAAGGGGACCTAATATTAGATATATTTTTGGATATATTATTTTCATGAAAATTATTGCAAGTTCGTTGTCTGCCATTGTGATTTTACTTAAAGGGTTATTAAACCCTCGGGTTTTTTTGCATATATCTAAAGCTAGCAAGCTCCCGTCTGAAGATCTGAAAATTCTTGGGCGGCCGCAAAGGATCTTGGGGCAGGTGCATGCGCAGTTCAGATCTTCGTCTGGGAGATGAGGAGAGACACAAGGTAAGTAAATGCAAGCAGCCCAGCAGACTCAGTGGGACACAGAAGACGCAGCAGTCAGCGCTGGATCAGAGACAGGCACCAGCGCTGGAGGAACTGATAAAAATTACAGGAAAGAAGATGATCGGATCAAGAGGCATCATTTAAGGTAAGTGCATACACCAGCATTGGGGGGGGGGGGGGGGGAAAT